AATCACCCTTCAGAATGGAAACACCTAGTTCAGGGTTCCCAAGGACAAGGTTTGATAGAAAATAAAAGACCAGCATCCTTGGCAATTGGTGGCTTTGGGCTGGAAACGTGAGACCGCCTTGGTGTGAATCATGACCGATATATATCACTGGAAAGGCGCTTACGTGATTCAAAGTTTCCATGGAGCTAAAAAAAAAAAAAATGAGAAACATCTGTTGGAGCGGTAAACAGCTGTCCCCCCAAGTTTCCCGGCTCTGAAAGGATGCCAGCGAGGGTGGGGCTCCTCCCACACCTGCTGCTTCCGTGCTCTCGTGACAGGGCCTGCCAGGTCCCCAGCCGGCGTGATGACAGCAGGCTCCTTCCAAACAGGAAGAGAAGTCGTAACTCAAAACCCTCACTTCTTCCAACCCTGAAGGAAGCCAAGCCTCTCACCACAGGAGGCTGTTTTGTTTCCTTCTGGAGAGGGCAGGAAGTGGGGGACTTGGGAAATCTATTGTCAACAGATCTAGGATGTACTCAGACATCCAGGAGATGGGAGCCCAGGCCCGCGGGTTCGAGCCATTGACATTATGGCTCAGTAACAGAAACAGAAATTCCGTAAGCGGCGGCTGCCGTTTGCAGGACATTCATTTGGTGTCACCAGCCGCCACTTCCAGAATCCAAGAGCAAGCAAAATGGCTCGCTCTCGGGAGGGCGGATGGATCTTGGAGCACTCGTATGTGCCCCGCTTTTCCCCTCTGAGCAGACTGATGGTGGCGTTCTTGTTTATATCAACATAGGAAGGAGGTTGGCAAATTTACACATGAATCACAGCTGAAGACATTTCCTCTCCAGAGGACACCCTGTCCGAATTGCAAAGATAACTTTATCTTCTGCAAACACGTTGCATCTTCTTGGTTGCCTTTCTTACCTGTTTGCTTTGTTTTCTTCTGTTTTGCTTTTTCAACCAGGGAGCGGCTCCTTACCTCTCTGGAGGCTGGTGCCTGGGTAGCCTCCCCAAAAGGAGGGGTCTCCCACCCCTTCAGGTCTGGGTGCACAGACCCAGGTCTCCAAAAGCCGTCAGCCTCGCGCCAGCCGCTCCAGACAGCATCTTTTGCCACTAGGGGGCCTCCCTTATCCCTAAGAGAAGTGATCAGCGGTGCAGAGACCAAGACCCGACTTCCGTTTCTACAATGTATGGTCTCCAGGGATGGACCAAGCATTGTATGACTACACAGCCCCAGACTGGTCGTGACAGGACAGATGCAGAGCCATTAAGAAGCCTTTCCTCGGCTGACAACTTCTGGACTTGGTCATGGCAACCTGGGGCTGAGGTAGTACTTGACCAGCAGCGATGCTGCAACCTCCAAATTCCATCCGGGAAGCAGGCGAGCCTAGAGTGGGATGCCTGCCCCCAGGCTGTGCACCCTCTCCTGCCCGCTCCCCTCTCCCCCTTTGTGGTTGCCCTCGTCGCCTGGACACAGACCCCTCTAGATCAGAAGCAGAAGGGTCTGCAGGTGCAGGAATACACGGCATGGCATCAGCGACCCTAGCTGTCCATGAAGTGGGTGGTGAGACCGCTTACAGCAGGAAGACCTATAGCCCAGCATTTGCCTGTAAACCTCTCAACGCAGGACCTGGGGAGGGTGCCAGGGCTTACGTGGCCCTAGGTTGCTTCAGCTCTTCGACTTTCCGTTACTCGTTTGCAAAATAGGGAAGAACCCAACCGCTGAGACTTTTTGCATATTGTTTTGAGATGACGGTCTAGGAGTTACTTTGAGCTTCTTGAAACTGGAATGGTTTTCTAAACCAACCCATACTCGAATCTTGTAAGCCCAGCATATACCTAAGGGTGAACACAGCTGTGTTTGTTAACATATATATGTGTATGCTGTGGGAACTAATCAATATATTCTAATTGGAGTATTAAGGAATGTTCCAAACAGGTGGCAATGTTTAAATCTAACCTTTAAGGCTGTTATACACAGTTGGATGCCCCAGAATGATACGGTGCACATGATAGTTACTCAATAAATGATTACTGAATACCAAAACCAAAACAAGGGACTTCCCTGGCGGTCCAGTGGTTAAGACTCCACGCTTCAACTCTGGGGGCGCCAGGTTTGATCCCTGGTCGGGGAATAAGATCCTGTACGCTGCACCAAAACCCAAAACCCAAAAGCAAAAAGCACGCGGATACGTGCACGCGCGTGTGTACCCACGTGTATATGTGTGCATAGGTATGTATATTTCTACAGTCACTCATATATTTTTCACTCCTGGCCCTCCATCAGCAGACTCGAGACAATGTACTCCGGTCTCCGCAGCGGCTGAATCTGGGGCCAGCGGCGGCCTACGTTGAGCCCTAAGGTGTCTGGACTTACGCTGCAGGAGCCCAGTCCTCTGAGGTGCTGGGCCGGGCCCACAGGTGCCAGCGCCCACGTGCCTCTACCCTGGAAGGTGCCACCAGAGCTCTGGGCGAGCGGCGAGTGGCAGCTGTCCCCTCCCGGGACACGGGGCAGCCCACACACATCACACGTCCCCACGAAAACCCCAGCCAGTGTTGCGGCTCGTATCTGCCTCTCCTGCCGGTCCCTGGGCCCAGCCCCCTGGGGGCCCAGACCAGCAACCGCGAAGCCCTGAAGCGGGGCCTCCGTGGGTGCGCGGAAAGCGGCAGCTTGAGAAAGGCGGCGAGCCCTCCGCCGTCTGGAAACGGAAGTTCCGCGCCCGGGAGCTGGCCTCCCTCTGTGGACGGACAGCGTCAAGGCGCCTCCAGTCCTTGAAGCGCTTCCTGGTGACCCCGATCATTCTGTGCGCGGCCGTGGTCATAAACACGCGGGAGCATCTCTCCGCTGACGTCGTCGATAACCCCCCAGGGTCACATACTGCGAACTCCCAGCCAGAGGCGGAAGCCACCTTCCCGCTTGGCTGTCCTGCGGGAGCAGGGCTCGGCCTGGAAGGGTCTGCAGCTCCAGGGCGTCGGATAGGCCGGGAGCAGCCGTCCTGGTCCAGAGGCCACTCCGAGCATGGTCAAGAAGCCCTGGTGCCCGCTCAGGACCAGTGTGCCGGCCGTGGGGAAGGGCAGCTTCAGGAACTGCCCCAGGACATTTGACTCACTTCCATGTGACCCGCAGTAAAGCCAGAAATAAACCCTTTGATGTGTGGGTCCCTAACTGAGGAGCCGGGCTCACGGGGCCTTCCAGAAAGAGCTCCGGGTTCCGCCGGCCTCTTTCCTCCTCCCCCTTCCTCTTCCTTTTGGCAAAAGTAAAACACACAGAAAGGCAGGGAAAGGCCATCCGGCCCGACATTTCCTGGCTGTCGCTGCCACCGAGCGCTTCAGAGCACCCCGAAGAGGGGTCCCTGGGGGCTGGAGAGCCGTGTGTGTGCTGAGCCCTCGAGGACCGGCCCTGCCACCCAGGGCGTCTTTCCTTCATTTGTTTATTCATCCAGTCCTCGTTTATTGCATGCTGGCCGGATGCCAGACCCTGTGTTAGGTGTGCTGAGAATTCCACGGTGAGCTCCCTGAACTTGGGAAGTTTCCGTTCTGGCCGGGGAACCCCACGATACACAACTCACAGACACAGGTCATGCACCCCATCCAACAAAAATGTGCCGCGTGCCTAGGCCATGTCAGAAAATTAAATGATGGTGAGGGGAAAAAAAGTCATTCGGTATAGGGAATAAGCCCCAATGGACGCCCACCCTACACCAAAACTGCTGCGCAGAAATCTGGGCTGAGGAACTGGGCTGACTCAGGAAGGAGAGGGGGAGGAAGGACAGGTTCATCTCAGAGGAATCACCCCTCGGCGGCCAACAAACTGGATCTCCAGGGGCCACTGCAGGCACCTTCTGACGGTGGTTCTGTTTGGGCAGAGGCAGCCAGACCCCGATAGGGGGCAGGGGCCCCACCTCTGGAGAAGCCCAGGTGGGACACGCACCACCTCCACTTACCCTGTGCCCAGCCTGCGCCCTGCCGAACAGCACCTCCGAGGCATCCAGACCGTCAAAGTGTCGGCCTTGGGGCAGGCTGGCCCCAGCCAGGGCCACCACGGTGGGGAAGATGTCCAGCACGCTGCAGGAAGATCAAGACAGTGTTGGCCCCAGCTGTCCGCAGGCTCTCTCCCTGGCCGTGCTGGGGTCAAGAGCCGCCCAGCCCAGCCCAGCCCAGACCGAGCCCCGGCAGCCTCCCATACAGCCCGCCCCCTCTGCCTCCTGTCCTGCCTTCAAGCACCACCTGGATTTCCTACAGGAGCAGCACCCAGGCTCTGCAGCCAGGTGTTGCCTGGGCTCAGATCTCAGCTCGGCCATCTATCTGTCTAGCCCTCAGTTTTCTGTTCTCTAAAATGGGCATGATAGGGGACTTCCCTGGCGGTCCAGTGGTTAGGACTCCGCACTTCCACTGCAGGGGGCACGGGTTCAACCCCTGGCCAGGGAGCTAAGATCCAGCAAGCCTCGCAGTGTGGCCAAAACAATAAAAATAAAATGGGCCTGATAACAACAGTACCTGCCTCGCTGGGTGGCAGTGTGCATGAAAGACGCAGGTCATGCACGTAGAAGGCCTGGCACTCAGAGAGCTCACTGGATGTCTGTGTTATAGTCACTTACAGGGACACCCCTGCAGACCTACCTAAGAACTAGGGGGCTGTAATAAAAAGGAATGAAATAGTGCCATTTGCAGAGACATGGATGGACCTAGAGACTGTCACACAGAGTGAAGTAAGTCAGAAAGAGAAAAACAAATATCGTATAATATTGCTTACATGTGGAATCTAGAAAAATGGTACAGATGAACTTATCGGCACAGCAGAAATAAAGTCACAGATGTACAGAACAAACTTATGGTTACCGAGGGGGGAAAGGGGGGTGGTGGGATGAAATGGGAGATTGGGATTGACATATACACACTACTATGTATAAAACAGATAACTAATGAGAACCTACTCCATGCTCTGTGGTGACCTAAATGCGAAAAAAATCTAAAAAGGAGTGGATATATGTATATGTATAACTGAATCACTTTGCTGTACAGCAGAAACTAACACAACATTGTAAATCAACTCTACTCCAATATAAAATTAATTTAAAAATAAAAGTTAAAAAAAAAAGAAGAACCAAGGGGCTCTACCTGTCACCACCTAGGCCACCGCCACCCGCTGAGAGGGAACAGTGTGTGACAGGTGTCTGCAAGAGAACATTTACTTCATTTTTCCCACCCTGGGTCTCCGTGTCGCAAATAGCTAGTCTTTGTCTAGAATGCCGTCATGTGTGACACATTCCATCCGCTTTCATTTAGCTCTGTTATTCCTGTTACAAAATAGTCAGTGTTCAGGGTGGGCAAATAGGATGACATCCAGAAATACGAAGCAGCAGCACACACACAGCCCCCCGCCCGAAGGCAGCCACTGTGAACACGTTGGTGGATTCTGTGAATTTGATTTTCTTTGAAGTCACGTGGTACCATTTCCCTCTGCTCTAGGGCACATCTCCCTCCAGCCTGCTGTGCTCAGGTCAGACAAAAACTCTTCGGCAAGAACAGAGCTGTTTATCTGAGGGCCAGGCTAACGTAGAGTCCGTGGGACTCGACAGAACCGGAGGGCCAGGCCCGCACGAGGCTGGACATCTCGGGAAAGAGGGTCCACCTGAGGCTGGGCTCATGGGGAGGCCTCCAGGTCCCACCTGCTGCTTCCCCAGCCCAGAGTCCCGGGAGCGGAGGCTCGCCCCCCAAGATGGGCCGCGGAAGGGAACTGCCACGTGCCCGCCTCCCCTCCTCCTCTGCTCCAGGGCTCTGTCTACAGCCCCGAGCAGGATCTCTCCCTCGGCTACGGTACAGAGCGTCTCTGGTCTGCCTCTGGCTTCCACGGTTCACAGAGCCGGAGGCTTATCTCTCGCGATGTGCGCTCCAGGGGCTGGCACCCCACGCGCGTGCAAGTGCAGGAAGTGCACAGTAAGCCCTTGCGGAGTACAGAACGGTCCAGAAACCTGTCCAGAGTCCAAGGTCCGTGCCAGAAATCAGGCAGCCCGGCGGACTGCAGTGCAGGCTGAAGAGGCCGGGGTGGCCGGCACTGCTGTTTGGAGTTTTCTCTCTGTTGCACCCCTAAGAGAGGCGTGCCCCCCAGAGGAGTCAGGTCAGTGGCAGAAGAACAGGGTCTGCCTTAGATTTGGGGGTGTGTGGCACATTTTCTTTTCCCGTCTCATTCCCCCCTCCGTCATCGTGAGGCTTAGCATCCTCATTATACAGCACAGAGTCTAATGTTCATGGAGTCCTAGTGTCTCAGAACCGGGCAGGAACCTCCAGAGCACAGAGGAAAGCTCGGGTCCGTGACAAAAGCTTCTGCATCTCCAGGACTTGCCAGTCCAAGCTCAGGCTACCAAAGAGTCCTTCCTTACGTAAAGGAGGAAAACAAGCCCCCGAGGGGAGCCCTGGAGGAGGGAGATCCTCCCGGGACACAGAGCCCCAGACCCTGGGCCCCTGCGTGAACTTGGAGAAAGCATCAGTCCTGCCAATCAGTCCTGCAAAGGCTACCAAAGGGACCCTGCTACTCCAAACCCTCCCTAAGGAATTGGTCCCGGGAGTCTTGGAAACCTTGGGGAAAGAGACCAAAAAACCCCAAACCTAATTTTCAAATTTCCACAGTTCATTCTAATACCTGGGAAGGCGCATTCCGACTTTCATGGAACCTCAGTCCGTTTGCCTTCGTGGTTCCTTATTCCATATAAAATACTCAAAATTATATTTTACAATTCTGTTGACATAAAGTTTATATAAATATATAAAGAGGAGATATGAAGCCATTTTTCTTCAACCTAAAAGTTTTTGTTTTTTCTTCTGGTTTCAAAGAAAATGAAAAGGTCGTGTGCCCCCAGCACCGCGCCTCCAGCCCCGATGGGCAAATCGGCCTTGGGTTCTGGAGGCCTTGGTTACGAGACGGGCCGTCGAGAGCCTGCTCGCGGACGGGCAGGCACGGCGACCCGGAAGAGAGCCACCTGAGTGGGTCGGCTCCAGGGGGCACACACTGCAGGTTCTGTTGCCCACGTGAGAAGATTTTCTTCATGCGGCTTCAGCCAGCCCAAGGCGCTGAAGACTGTTCAGAGGAAGCGTGCATATCTGTGTTTTTGTCCGAGGAATTGCCAACAGAACCTGCGTGTGGGGACTGGGCAATCGCGAGGAGGATGCGGGGAGCTGCAGGGCTGCGGGGGGCTGGCCTGGATCTCAGGGCACGTGTCAGTGGCACTGGGGCGCTTGCTGGGGTGCCGGGGGCGGAAGGGAGGCTGCTTCCTAGAAGCGCGGACATTACATCTGGGAAGTGGCCGGTGTGATCTGAAGACGGGAAGTGAGAAGGGCCAGGGCTGCTGGAGTGTAGGCTGTGGTGCGTGGGCCTGGACTCCGGGCCTAGAGTGAGCGAAAGGAGAGCAGAACCCCTCCAGACCGTGGAAGAGTGGGAACGCTCCTGGATGTGGCGAGCGAGCTCTCTGGCCTCTGGCTGTAAGTTCCTTCCTGCGGGAAACTCGCTCGCGTTATCTCTGGGGAAAGCTAGGTGCCCACCCCTTCCTGGCCTAAGTCCCTCGGTGGAGACTGGAGAGGCTGCAGGTCCCCCTTGGAGACCAGCAGGGCCCGGCAGCAACTTTGCAGGGAGCACGGGGGGCCCACAGCACCAGGAAGACCCAACACCGAAGCGCGCACGTCCGTTACACAGCCGAGTGCCGGTGCCGCAGCAGTGCGGGTGAGGGAGGGTCCGCTGCCCATCTCCCCCCATAACCCACTGCCAGATACGGGAAAGCAGTGGGGGGCGGGCCTTGAAAGGAGATGCGCGGCTGGGCCTCTCCCGGGGGCGGGGGGCGGTGACACCCAACCCACAGGACACCGACGTGAGCATCACCTCTTTGCAGATCCTACTTGCGGGACTCAGTTCTGTGCCTCAACACAGCCCAGAGCCGGCCGAGCCCCCTGCACATAACTGCCTGCCTTTGGGATACGGGAAGACAGCCTCGGGGTCCCCCAGCGGGTCATCCGCTCGCCGGGCGAAACACACCTTTAGCTGTTTTTCAGATGAGATTATTGCAAGCCCTCCCCTCCCCTTCTAGCCACTGTAGGCTTGCCCCAAGAATCTCCAAGGGAGCGTTCCTCCGTTCTGAGCAGAGACGGGGGCCTCCCAGCTCAGATGCAGGGCAGACCCCCCCCCCCCCGCTTTTTGTACATGACCAAGAGAAATCACTTGAGAGCTGTGATTCTCAACCGACATGAGTCTGTCCTCCCCAGGGGACACTTGGAGCCGCCCGGGGACATTCTGGTCATCACAACTGGGGCTGGGGAAGCCATGGGCATCCAGTGGGTGGAGGCCAGGGGTGCTAGTAAACGTCCTTAAACGCCCAGGACACCCTCCACCCCAAAGAACGGTCCAGCCCAAAATGTCAGCAGTGCCAAGGTTGAGATACCCCGCTTTAGAGTTTTAGGATCAAATCACCAGGCCCTTTTCAGACGTGCTGCCCTCCCGAAGGGACGTCAGCTCCTCAACAACAGAAGCCTTCTGTCCGATGTGCCCGTTCTTACAGTCCCTGGAGCCATGCTTGACCCATAACTGGACCCAACAATTCACCTCCGTTGAATAAATGAATTTCCCCCATGCTGCAGTTGTGTCGCTGGGCTTTGGGGTCAGGGCGTCTGTAAGACCTTTCTTTTGATCTTATCACGTCACCTCGGTGCACACCTGGTGATCAACACACCAGTTACATCTAAAGGTAACCAATAGGCTTAGCGTGGACCCTTCTCCCCGAGCCCCTAACACACCTTTTTCTACTTTTCCCGTATTCACGTGAGTGTATCAGCTTGTCTACTCTCTGGTGTCCGTAACTCCTTAGGCGCTGGGGTATTGGGTTAAGAGATCCTGGCCTCAGCTCAGAGTGGCTGAAGGGAGTTATCTCTGATCTGGAAGGAGAGGTATATCCTCTGGGGAAGAAAGTAGGAGACTAAGTGATAGAAGAGGTGATTAAGTACCTAATACGTGGGAGCGTCTGGCTGGGCTTCCAAGAACATGAAGCATAAGAGCCTCAGCTTCTTGCATACGCGTCGTACCACCCTTCTCCCAAGAGCCGACCCGGAAGGGGTCCTGGCAGTCAGGGCGCTCCACCCAAGTTTGCTCTCCATGGATTCACGTGAGAAAATAGCAAGAGGATGAACTGTATGGAGACAGACCGTCCTGCTGCAATCAGGACTAATTTAACACCAAAAATACCCTAAGAGGGGCTGGCCTGGTGCATCGGTAGAGTGTCCTGGTAAAACTCCCAGCAAATGTTACCTCGTACCAAGGCTGGCTTCCTTTGGACACTCACCAAAATATCCCCTAAGTCAGTTGTCACCTCTGAAGCCCGGAATTATCAACAAAATGATGCAATTTTCTCACGGAGCCGTAGTTGACTGGAGGTGAGAACGCCATTCTCAACTGAGCAGCACGAGCTTGGTTTCCGGTGATGTCACTTGAGAGACGGCACGTCCAGCCCAGCCCGTGAACCCCTGGCCTGACTGCAGCAAGTCGGGCCCATAAAAAGCAGCCCGCCTGGCCCTCTTCCCGGCCAGCCTGACATCACAGGCTCCAGCCGGAGCTGTTGTTGTCACGCCTGCCGGCAGCACCCCGCCCCCATCCCCACCCGCGATTGTACGGGGCTGACCGGGAGTTCCCGGGGGCCCAGAGGCTGCCAGGGACAGTGCCTACTCACCCCCGACTTCGGCTGTCACCGCTGTTCACCCTTCCTTTCCCCCCGGGGTTCAGTCTCCCCGCCTTCTCTCCATCACCTCCCCTCTGGGATGCTAGAGGAAACCAGTGAAGCCTGCTTTCCTATACTGGGCTGTGCTCTCTAGGCCAGAACCCACTTGGTTAACGGTGAAGGACCTTTGGAAATAGGAAATTAGTCTTTAACCAGAATAAGACCTCTGAGCCTGTGAGCAAGCAGCTGTGTCTACGGAGGGGCCCCCTCGTCCACGGATTCAGGGCAGAACCACGCAGGGGACGGGCCCTCCGGGTGAGCGAGAAGCCCTCGTTATAAGTCACGGCTGCAGAGCTGCGTGGTGTTGCTTTCCGGGTGGCACAGCACAGCCAAGTTCTGTGCCAAGGAGAGGGCCTCCTGGGCCTGCCTGCACAAGGAGGTCAGAGTAATAGCGAGATGTGCTCACGTTTACGATCGTCCTTCCTTCTAGAAGCTTCTTTGCCAGCGGTAGGAAGAAGACCCTCACCCAAGGATTCATCCCTTCCTTCCCAGCCCGGTGGGTCCAGCTTCCTTCTCCCTCCCTCGGGGGCACGTCAACATCTAGACCCCTTTCTTGTGCCATCTGATGACCAGTGACATGCTTGACGGAGCCATCCCCAGGACACCTGCCCTACCCCCAGAGAAGGGATCCTTCAGGCCCAATAGACCCGTTCCCGCACCCCCGTCAGCTTGGCCCAGGCCACAAGTGGTGAGGATGCCCCTGGCCTTTCTGCAGCCACTGTCTCCTCAGTGCACAGCAGAACGACCCAGCACTGACGGCCACCCAGTGCCCTCTTCCCGGAGACAGCCCCCCAGAGGACGGCCTGAAAAGTGTCCCACCGCACTGTTGCTCCGGGCGGCTCCACGCTGCTACAATCTGAGTTCGGGACGTATCTGGGGACACCTGGCCAGGGCAGGTGATGTGTGAGGTCTCTAGCCACGCAAGCATCCATGACTTTTTCCTACATCTCAAGGTAATTTGGGTCTCGTACCTTAGCAAAGCAGTGCTGGTGACGTTGACGGGGACCCTGCCGGGCCAGTAAGCCAGAGCTGGGACACGGTGTCCTCCTTCCCAGGTGGTCTGCTTGGCTGGACTTCCCCCTGTGAGAAGAGGGGAGACAGTTGGTTCTCTGGGAAAACAGTCCTTCTCCACGGGGACTCTCTAAGAGCTTCTGATAATTCCAACAGAGGAATGACTTCCTTTAGCAACGAGCTATTCTGATTCATGTAGTGAATCTCTTTCAATACGTTCTTTTATTTTACCGGATTCAACGCGCGCAACTAGCTGTGTCCGTCCCTCTCTAGGGAATCACGTCACTTAATTTCTTCATGCCGCTTTGGCCACTTCAGACTGTCTGGCTTGTTTACGGACCGGCATCAGTCCTGTGCACCCGAGACGTAGTAGGTGCGCAACAACTATCTGTTGAATGAATGAATGTGTCTTCCTACAGATCATGTTTAGGATGGAAACATAAAACTATTTGAAATGAGATAAAGGCGGAAATTCCCCCAGTTATTTGATCCGCCCAACAACCGATCTGGCATAGGTTTTGTTGTTGTATTTTGTTCACTCTGCTTTACTTTTTTGTTTTCCTTTTTTTGAATGAATGAGCTCTTCCGATGTTGTGGTAGCTCCGACCTCTTGCCTCTCAGGGGGCGGTAAGAACAATCTACTGCAATCTACGAATTTCCACTGGGTAATTAAAGGAATTATTTTTGTAACCACCAAGTCAAAAGTGACCACCAGTGTAACGATGACCAGCAGGCTGGAAGGGATGAGGTCATGCTTTATGGAAACATCCTGAGTACGTGTTGCGTTGAATTAACCATGACCATGCCCGTCCCTCCCACACACACCCCGACCTCATCCCAGCTGAGCCAGGAATTCCGCACGGTTAGCGTGTAGAGAGCCTTTCCAAGGCAAACGCTGTGTGTGTCTCACACATACCATGGTCATGCAACATCCTTATGTTTGGCTGGCGGAAACAACGATGGGGAGGGAGGGGGCGAGAAGACCGAGGCTGCCGTCATTTTGCACTCACCCTGCAGCAAACGGAACCTTTGATGTCCCTGGCCCAGCACATGACACCAGAAATGCTCGGCATTCTTGGAATTTTCTCATAACCAGCTTTGGAGTGCCCCCAAGGGTTGAAGTCAGAAACGATACACAAAAACAACTCGTGTCTATGGACCGTTTATGTTTAGGGGTGGGGCTCTCGGAACCAAGCGGAGTTGTGTGGGGGGCCGAACAGGAAACTCTTTGACTTGGCCCAAGATGTCTCACATACCTTCTTCCAGTCCAGAGCCACGCCGGCCATAAACACCTAGAGCCCACTCCCAATTATTCACGCATATGGAACAGAGACTCCAGAGCTACAGCCAGCATAAATCGCACTCCCCCGTGGCCTTGGAATGCACGACTTACGCTTCAGCTGAAGGCCAAGGAGCGGGGAGGGAGCACTAACGCTGCACGTGCGGGAGCTCTGCAGATAGTCCCCACCACCCCCCACGAGGGGCGTTTCTATGGAAGCTCGGGGAATAGGTGGGTGAAAACATGGAGTCCATTTATTTGCAAGTCCACGGAGCACAAAATTCAGACTAACTTGCTTAGCCTTTGAGGCCAGATGCTAAGGAAAAGCAAAGGGTTCAATTCGAAGAAACAAGCCAATGGTTCTGAGGGTCAACCAGAAGGCCCAAGCTGGGGGCTTGCACTGTGTTAGGGCTATAGGTGCCAGCGTACAGGGTCGGCACCAGGATTGCGTTTCCGCCTCCAGGGTGTTTCCAGAAGGGTACACTAGCCCCTAATTAATAAATCTGCTAATTGGTCTTCACCACTAGGGGTTCTGCTCATTTGCCATGATCTTTTTGTACCGTTCTTTTTCAGACGACTAACTTTCCTAATTCGTTTTCAGAGAAAAATATGTCAATGCGTTTGCCTTATTTCAGCAGAGAGTTGAAAGCTGGAGAGGTTAGAAGGAATTCGGCCAGTTATAAAACATGTATACGTCAACAGAGTGGACAGTGCCCTGCAGAGAATCAGGAACTGGGACAAAGAGAGGAAAATGTTGGCTGAGAGAAGCGGCTCGGTGTGGACACTTGGGGTGCGGAGAGCAACCCCTCCTCTATGTTGTCAACACTGGCCAGCTGGCACCTGGCTGTACCTTGGGTTCTGGCTTTACCAGAAAGACACAATTATATATTCCAGCCATGCCCACAAGGCTTGTACTCAAAAGAGTCCAGAGTGTAGGTAAACAACTATAAAAAATATATCCCCCAGAGCGTGGACACCTTCCCACTCCAAATTCCAGTATCTCATTGGCACTGCTAGGGGTGGGCCAACTTTAAAATATCCGACCAGCATTCTCTGTGGGTCCCCAGGGTTGATGCCTGATAACCAGGCATCTGATTATCAGAAACATCTAACCGTGTTTGTTGTGGTTCATCTGCACCAGCAAACACTGAAACCCACAGCAGCTGGCCCTGGTCCCCTGATGTTCTCCAGTGATACCTGCTCCTACTGATGGAAACTCATCCTCCGTTAACCACAACAGTAACAGTAACAATAATGTCTCCTATTGACTGAGCCCTTTCTAAGCACCAAGCTAAGTGCACCTACCTATAATGCTAAGTGCTTCCCGGCGTCATCTCCCTTAATCCTCAGGACAACTCTGTGAGCTAAGCCCTGTTATCCTCATTCTTCAGGTGAGGAGGTTGAAGCTCAGAGACGTTAAGTAATTTGCCCAAGGTCACACAGCAAAGAAACACTAGAGTCAGGATTTGAATCCAAGTCTAACCACACAGCCAGTACCCTCAGCCATTAAACCTTCTAGGACTTTTTAGGACAGTGGTTCCCATCCCCGAATGCATACTCGAATCACTAGCTTTTAAGAAGTACCCAGGCCAAGGTCCCTTTCCCAGAGAATTGTGATTTAAATTGGCCGGGGGTGGGGCCTGGATACCAGTATCTTGTAAATTCTCCTGGTGAGTTAATGTAGAGCGGGCCGTTCCAGGCCGAGGGTGAAGAGAGCAAGGAACAGAGTCAGAAGGTGGACACAGTGCGTTTTGAAACTAATTGTAGCTTATGTGCTTTTTAATGACAGGTTTTATACGGCCCACAGCTTTATAACTTTATGCCACCGGAGCGTGAATGTGACCCTACGTGTTACAGTGAGAACAATAGCTAAGTCCACAAAGTCAAACAGGCACCTCTTAATTTCAAAAGCTACTCGTTAGTTGAGAGCAACCTTCATACTTTGATCAGAGGCCCTGGCACATCAAAAGGGTCCATTGCGTTTGGCTTTCTGTTGAGAAACGCAAGTCTGATGGTCATGAAAACGCATTTCAGCGCACTTGCGGTTAGTTATGACTCTAATTAAGGCAGAACCTCTTACTTAAAGCAATAAATATTTAGCCTCAGCAACCAAAATATAAACAGAACGATGATTCATGGAAATTCTTTTGCTCGTTCTCCCCTGGCTACGGAAGAAAATGCCACTGCACGATGCAGGGAGAAAAGGGCAGCCGAGGAAGGCTCACCACGACCTACGCTTGCAACAGCCAAACGTGATGCCTGCCTGAGTCAGAAAGGCAGTGTGGCTAATACAGAGGCTGGCAAACTTCTCAGTACACGGAGCCGCCAGAAGGACACCCAGAGATGCTGATTTAGGAAGTCTGGGGTGGGGTCTGACTCCAAGTCATCCTGACACCAGGCTCTGAGGACCAGAAGTTGAGAAGTGTTAGTAAGGTAAATGGGAGGACGCCTTCCCAATTCTCAACGTCACTGCACGTCCGTCTCCTCAGCCATGAAGGGGGAAATGACTGTCCTGATCTCACGGGATGGTGGAAAAGTTACGCAAGGTAACGTACATAAAGTTCCAAGCCGGGTCCTCCGGCGCAGTGCCTGCCATGGAAGCGCCCACTAACAGCCATCCAAAGAAACCCCTAGCAAAGCAGAGACAAAACAGAGTCACCTACAGATAGAAGACAGCAGGCTGCAACCTGGCAAAGCACACACTGAACTCAGCCCCTGACAGTTTGGTTTGGCACAAATCGTATTTCTCTTTAAACTAAATCTGAATGTCGTTAGTCAGAGCCCTCGATCTGATTTCCCGAGTCCCTAATGCTGGCCACAGTGGACACAAACAGACAGTTGTTCGTTTATACTACCTGCCTGGCCCCTCAAGGCATTTATGTTTGTGACTCAGATGGGACACGCGTGTTCTGAGGAGCACACGTCCTATAACCTTCTAAAGAAGCAGGCTTCATTTCTAAATATATATACATGCCTCTCCCAAGGCTGCCCGGAGCGCACACACTAGTGTTCTAGAAACACAGGGCAGCCAGGCCTCTGTTGGGGCGAAGGACCCTGGCTGCCCTGGGGCGGCCATGAGTGTGGGCATGGGGACTTCCAAGCCCGGCAGGGGACATCATTTGACTTCCACTGGGTCTCCAGTAGCTGGCCCTGACCCCAGCCGGGGCCAAGAGCCCCTCCCTTGCCCCTCCCTCCCTCCCCCAGTCCCCCCCCAACCCCGACCCCTCTCCGTCCCACCCCCTGCCCCCAATGGACAGAAGGCCCAGGATGTAGAGCACGCTTCCCAGTGGGAAAGGTTATGTAACCGCCTGATAGCATCAAGTTACAACCAAGGTCTCCTAGAAGCCAAGGATGCCAAATTCAACAGCATGTTTCCTCATCACCAGGGGGGGAGGAAGGAACAGTTCTGCTCTTCAAATAAAACAAGAAAAGATTTTCCAGACAGAGGAGCCGTCAGTTAGGGCACAAACAAGGTGTTGGTTCTGTCCCGGAGAGGAAATAGGTCTGGAGCAGGGAAGGGAGGCCGGCGGCTGGGAACCAGGGGGGCCGCGGGCTCCGGGTCGGCAGCGGCCCTGCTGTGCCCCCTGGCCCCCGGTTCGGTCTCTCCTCACCCCTACAGGACGCAGGCCAAGCCCGGTGGAGCACCCTCACTCCAGCACGGGATGAAGGGATGACTGCAGGAGACGCTGCCTCATCACATCAGCTGAGCAGAGCGGCTCAGCCAGGAGAGGGGGTGGGGGGCGGCCCGGGGGCCCTGGGAACAGGGGAGGCAGCGTGTGGCCTGATGCGCTGGGCCAGCTGCGGGGAGAAAGCAGCAGGGCTCTGGGCACTGTTTGTCCTGCTCCATTGCGAAAACACTGACTGTCTTCTCTCTTTCACCAGCTCCCGAGACTGGCCTCGTTTACAGCAGGATACACAGGCCTCCCGCTGACAAGGAACCTGCTCGAAGAAGAGCAGGCGGTCCAGAGGGACCCCCCCAGCCCCTCCCCCGTGACCCGGGTCCCCTGGCCATGGCCCTTCCACCCAGGGCTCTGCCCGGCTTCCCAGAGCCCCCCGCAGTGGCCTGGGCAGTGAGGAGAGGTTGACGGGAAGCCAGTTTGGAGACTGAGGAAGGGGAAGTGTTTACTCCCCGCAAAGTGCGTCTCCAGGATCTCCTGGGAAAGGAACAAGGTAACCAGGTCCAGTCCCACCACGGATTCAGGTGCTGTGTCCCACAGATACCACATCCAGACCAACGTTTGTGCAAGGCCCTGCCCCCCACAGAGGGTGTTGCCTCGACATGAAGGAAGTCCAGCCTCAGAGCAGTTTTCCAAACCACAGGCCCAGAACTCCTGGGAAGTGACCCTCATGTTGCTCAAGGTGCCTGTGTGCTTCAGCAGGAAAATCCTTCTCAGGTCATTTCTTCCAATTATTCTCTTGGTAGAACCCTCCCCTCACCCCGAGTTTGTTTCGGCTGGGAGTGAAGAGATGGAGTTGTACGGGGGTAGGAAAGGCCAGGCACCTCCCGGCCAGCGTCCCAGTTGGCCCTGCACCGTCCCGCGAGGCGGGTCTCCACTGCCCTTACTGAGGAGGACGCAGGGTTGGAAGGGGCCGCCGGGCACCAGGTCCTGAGCTGAGTCGAGAATCACGCCTCCAAAGCCCTCTCTCCATCTCTCCACTCTGCCTCCCATAGGTTTAGAAAGACTCAGACTGTCACAGGGGCTAACGAGGTTCTCCCTGACAACCATGGAGCGGGCAGAGAAGTAAGACAGGACGTTGCAGACAGCTGGGCAGTCAGTCGGGTATAACAGGGCATGAGGACAGTGAAAACGTGGGTTGAGGAACGAGCCGGGGGGTGGTCAGAGCGTGTGGCCCCCCAGTCGGTGGCTGGCCCCAGGGAAGCCCTCTGCCCCGCTCAGCCTCAGATCCCTCTTTGGCCAACAAGATAGTTGGAGTAGAGCTCGCGGAGGCCTCCCTGGCACTGTTTGAATGCGGGGAGATTGCTGTCACTCGCTCCCCTTTATTTATCATCTTTGACTCAATGGAAATGTCTATATATACACGTACCACGTGTTCTTTATCCATTCATCTATAGATGGACACTTAGGTCACTTCCACATTTAGGCAATTGTGAATAATGCTGCAATGAACATGGGGTGCGTATATCTTCCGGAATTCGTATTTTCATTTTCTTCAGATAAACAGCGGGATTGCTGGATTGCCTGGTAGCACTACTTTTAATTTTTGGAGGACCGTGCGTACTGTTTCCCCCAGTGGCTGCATCAACTTGCACTCCTTTTTGTCCACACCTTCCCCAACTTTGCTTCGGATTCAGTAGGTCTGGGGTGAGGACCTAGAATCTGCATTGCTACCAAGTTCTCAGGTGGTACTGATGCTGCTGGTCCTGGGACCTCACCTGATTACCCACTGGTCTAGATCTGACAGTTCTAGACTCGAAGGGCGCTAGATGTGGATATCCCAAATTGCTGGCTCTCACTGTGGTCCCTGGACCTGCTGCATCAGCATCACCTGGGAGCTGGTTAGAAATGCAACATCTCCATCACCAACCCAGACCGACCGGGTGCAGGATCCCCAGGGGACCATCTACACGTTAAAGTCTGAGAAACACTGCTCTAGGCCGTCATTCTTTAAAGCCGGGGCTTTGATGATCTTTGTGTCCCCGGCACTGAGCACAGTTCCTGGCACATAGTAGGTGCTCAACAAGTAGAAGGAAATAGAAGGAAAGGAGGATACGCCCTGCTGATACATGTGTTTCTCATAAAGTTCTTCCCTCAAAGAATGGGCTACAGTCCACACCCGTAAACTGGTTCACTATTTTAAAACTGCCTCCTAAGGGGGAGAAGAGAAAAGATAAGGCAGGTCCTCAGATAGGAGATCAGAGGTCGTCTTCTTAGGAAACAGAAAGATCCCCACAGAGGGGCCACTTACGGACAGATTTTTATCCCCTCAACCTTGGTCTCTGTGCCTTTAGGGCCTTTACTCTTGAGAGTAAAAATGATTCCAGGCTCTTCTACCTGAGCATTGAAGACGGCAGCCTGGCCCGAGGGTACCCCAGGTGCAGAGAGGAGGAATTATCATCAGCGAATGCAGAAGAACCACTCCCCGTTGGCACCATATTTCTGTAGACCGTGGCTGCAGCCACCGGACACATTTCCACCACTTTGGGTCCTAGCATCTTTTCCTGGTCCAGCTCTCCAGGAACCAGTGCTCTTGAACGAACTGGATGGGCCAAAGAGATCCATGCACAGAGGAACGCCACCACCCAGAGGGATGAAGTGGTCTGGTCACTGGGCAGCACCCAGTTTCCCTGACTTCCACCACATATGTCCACACACGAGATGCGGTCACAGCTCAGCAGCCACTCACCTGTAAAGTTCTCAAGGGATCTGATCCAAGGGACGCCAGGGTAAAGCACTTCCTTCTCACAGCTAGCCGTGGGACACACGACAATTCTACCTTCTGGGTAACTACGACCATTCTGCCAGTCTCATCCGAAAGGGAACTCGTGTCCTCCGACGTGGACACAGCTGGGGCCGCGGGTCAGAAGCCAGCCAGACAGCAGGGCAAACCCAGCCCCAGGGCGTAATCTTGCCAAGTCCACCTCTGCACCCCTCAGATACAAGCACCTTCTGAAATTTTTATTTTAATTTTTTCATTTAAAAAATTAATTAAAAAAATTTTTTAATTGGTAAAAAAAAAAAAAAAAGTGGGAATAACTACACTTAAACCCTTCCTCCCCTACCCAGAGGTAATCACTGCTAATCTTTTGTTATCAATACCTTTCGTTGCCTCTCTCAAGATTTTTCCGAGAATACATGCACTTAGTTTTATACAATAAAATCGTACTTTACATATGGCTTTGTGACCTGCTTTACTCACTGAAAAGTATTTAATGTAACTGTTTCCAGGTCAGTCATATGCACCATTTTCAGTGGTTCCTTAGTGTTTCTTTAAATGCATGTATCATAATTTCTTTGAGCACTCCTCTCTTGCTGTACACTTGGGTTACGTCTAACTATTTTTCTCAAGAAAAACCTACTGCAACGAGCATTCTTTTACACACAACGTTGTGCACTTGGCTTATTATTTCTTGAAGACAAATTCTTTAAAAGAGGAATTAATGCATCGCCCAGCATGCACATTTTTCAAGACTTTGGTCCACACTGCCGAATTGTCCCCAGCAGGACTGCTCTTTCAGAGAGTGAGGTCCTTTTGGGGAAACCTTCCCAGCAGATGGGCGCTGAGCTGAGGGCTGAAGGGTGTTTACATAAAGACAGGCAGTACGGTGTAGTGGGAAGATCACCAGCTTTAACTTGGTAGCAAGCCTGGCCCCGTCCTCCCAAACTGTGTGACTCTAGGCAAGTTCCTTAGCCTCTCTCATTCTTCAGCTGTAAGTGGAGTGATGACTACCTGCCTTTCACTAAGGTTTAGAGATAATGCATATAGAAACCTTGCATAGCTGTGCACAAAATATTTCTTGAATGAATGAAATGAATTAGTGTTTGGATGGGTGGAGGGATGACTTTTCAAAAAGGAAAGAAAAGAAAGCAAGGAGGAAGATTGAGGACATGAGGGTGAGGGTAGAGGCAAAGCATACTTGCTGGGCTGCCTGTCAGCGGGCCGATGCCCTGGGAGGGAAGGAAAGGGAACCCCCGGGGTGAACACGCACTTTCTCCGCTCCAAATTGTTTCTCTTCTGGGAGCTAGTGGCTGTGAGTAATCTGTCCCTATTTCACAATGATGTCCCAAGACCCAGCTATAAACTGGTCCTCCCAGAGGCCGGATCTCATGCCCCAGCCCAGACTCAGCACCTGCGGGGAGATGCCCCAACCCCAGCTGTGAGCCTCTACCTTGACGAGTCTGCCATGATCCAGTGAAGGGCCCCATGCTCCCTGCCAGCTCACACTTCTGAGCCCACGGGCCATTGTCTCCTAGAAACCAAAACAAGCAACAGGCAGCAGTTACTGGAGGATGCTCCGATGGGCTTTCCGGAGAGGTGGGCTGTCCTGCCCCGAGCGCGCCCCACGCTGAGGCTTCTGCCTTTGGATCTGGGCTCAGCAATTCTATTGCCACTATCTTCAGCCCAGCAACTTTTTCTTTTCTTTCCTTTTGTTTTTTGTGGGTTTCTTTTGGCCGCACGGCATGTGGAATCTTAGTTCCCCAACCAGGCATAGAACCCGTGCCCCATGCAGTGGAAGCACGGAGACCTAACCTCTGCACCAGCAGGGAAGTGCCCAGCAACTCTTTCTTGAGCCCCTCTGATGCACACATACGTTATCTCCTGATCCCCCAATGTGCTGTGGAATAGATTTCACTGTCAGCTTGATTCTGCCGATGAGGAAGGAGAGGCTTACAGAGGTTAAAGTAACCTTCCCGGCACTCCCAGGTGGCGCAGTGGTTAAGAATCCGCCTGCCAGTGCAGGGGACACGGGTTCGAGCCTTGATCTGGGAAGATCCCACATGCCGCGGAGCAACTAAGCCCGTGCGCCACAACTCCTGAGCCTGCACTCTAAAGCCTGCGAGCCACAACTACTGAAGCCCGCGTGCCTAGAGCCCGTGCTCCGCAACAAAAGAAGCCACCGCGATGAGAAGCCCATGCAACGAAGAGTAGCCCCCGCTCGCCGCAACTAGAGAAAGTCTGCGGGTAGCAACGAAGACCCAACGCAGCCAAAAATAAATAAATTTATAAAAAATAAATTAACTTTCCCAAGAGTAGAGACTCAAACCCAAGTGTCCACCACTCTCGCTCCAGACAGGGACCCGAGACCAGTGATGCCTGTGTGGGCCCTTTAAACAGCTCACTGGTCCAGCACCACTCAGCCAGAAGATGTGACCTGCTGACCGCTGGCAACCTTTGGGATGGGGGAAGACGGTAAAGAAGCACTCTTGGAATTGCCCGAGGATTACAGAGGTCCACAATGTCAAAGTCACTCATTAACAATTAACAGCAACACCCAGATGGCCCTGATCAACACCCAAGGGGCCGGCAGGGTACCCGCTCTCTCTGTGCGAAGGCTTTCCAGGGGCACAGCCCTGGAGGCCCCAATGGACAGGTGCTCGGCACGCAGGCCGACGGACGCGAGCAGGGCCCCCAGTTCAAGGCGAGCCCCCTGCCCAGCTGAAGAGGGCCACTCGCCCAGACTCTGCTCTTGTGTGGGGCGTGTGCGGGGTTATCCATTAGATCCCAGCGAGGTTGGCTGGGTTTTACTACTTCACCTGTAAACCAAAGGAATGTGTTGTTTTTAGCTGTGAGGTCAACTTTGTCCTTGATCTGGCCCACGAGGCTGTCCATCTCCCGGAGAGCCGCGCTGTACGGCCTTCGACCCCCGGGTTCTGCTGACAGCAGGGTCCTGGACAGGGGCACGTGCATGTGGGCCAGGCCCACGTAGAGCAGGAAGGGTCTTCCGCTGGCACTGAAACGAGAGAGCCGGAGGTGACTCTCCAGAAGGGTCCCGTGGCCTCAGAGAAGAGCCCAGAAGCCCTTCCACCCAGTGTGCTCAGGAGGTACACATCCGTCTACAGCCTGCAGAGGCAATGGGGGGTAAAGCTAGTTAAAGACTGAGAGTAACTGTAATACTCGCTTCTGCCCTTTTAACGTTTACCGGGAGCTCATTGAACATGACTCACGTTGCCTGAATTCTGCCTCATAAAACCCCCCAAGTTCCCTTTTCCGGATGAAGCATCAGAGGCTCAGGGAAACTGAGAGACTTACCCAGGGTTAGGAAGCGACCAAGTCTGGGTTTAAACTAAGGTCTGGCTGAGAGCAGAGCCCTGGCTCTTGGCAGCTTCATGCTAACGTCCAGCGCAAACGTATTTTTAAGTTCCAGCTGCTCTCTCGAAGCATCCAGGCCATCGTTTCCATTCCCAGCCTTGGCTCTTTCTAGGAGATGAACGGATGACTGAAACGGACCACGGGAAATTCCAAGGCCATAGCTGGGAACATCTCGATCAAGGTCCTGGTGGAGGCCAGGCTCCCGGCTGCCCCTACTCTGATCCTGCAGGTTCCCCTGGGAGGCCTCTGCTTCCTGCCTGCCCCCCACCTGCGTTCCCAGGCCAGGGGCAGGGTCAAGGGCAGCGGCAGGGACCCTCGGGGAGCCCCTTCCCACAGCCCACCCCTGTGGGGGGTCTTTCAGAGGACACAGGGAGGGCAAGGGGGGAACTTCAGGCGAGTCCGTAGGCTGGCGACGGAAGCGCAGCTCTTTCACACCAGGCCACCTGGACACTCGACTTTCAAACTGGCCTGAGTGCTCTTGGCTGCCCCCGATTCACACCACCTCACATCAAGCTCTCTGAGTCCCCCAGCCTCAGCTCTGCACCAAACCTCGCCCTAGAGACGCCCCCGCACCCCAACTCCCAAAGTCCCCTGATTGGGTGGGACTGTACTGCACTCGGTTCTCTTTGAAGGACAGAAGATGCACGTCCCAGACGGGGGCCTCTCCTTCCCCATTCTAGCCCACAACTTCTCTGCAACATTTCACAAGCTGTATCGTCCATGTCCACAAGTCATGAGTGGCTATTCTGATTTCAATTCACGAACATGAAATAAAGCTAAGAGTTCAGCGTCTCACATGCTATACCATGGATGAGGCTTGAAGACACGGTGCTCAGTGAAATAAGCCAGTCACCAAAGGACAAATATGGTGCGATTCCCCTTACAGGACGTACTTGGAGTGTCTGCTTCGTACAGACAGAAAGTAGCGCTGTGGAGGCCAGGGGCTGCAGGGAAGGGAAAATGGGGAGCTGGTGTTTAACAGGTACAGAGCTTCCATTTGGGAAGATGAAAAAGTTCTAGAGATGGATAGTGGGGATGGTTGCAGAACAGTATGAATGTACTTAAAACCACAGAACTGTACACTTGCAAAGGTAAATTAAAAAAATAGGGAGGGTGGGAGGGAGGGAGACGCAAGAGGGAAGAGATATGGGGACATAGGTATATGCATAACTGATTCACTTTGTTATACAGCAGAAACTAACACACCGTTGTAAAGCAATTGTACTCCAATAAAGATGTTAAAAAAATTTTTTTTTTAATTGAAGTAGAGTTGATTTACAAAGCTGTGTTAGTTTCAGGTGTACAGAAAAATGATTCAGTTATACATATATATACTGAAAAGGAAAAATTTATGCTATGTACAGTTTACATCTATCTATCACCTATCTATTATCTATCTATTATCTGTCTATCTATCTATCTATCTCTCTATGTCTATCTCTTTCTCTATCCGTCCATCAGGTGTCTCAGTTGCCTGAGCCACATTTCCAATGCTCAGGCCAGTGGCTACCATCCTGGACAGCACAGAGAGAACATGTTCTTCCTTGCAGAGAGCGCTATTGCATGGTGCTGATGTAGGGCGTCTGTTGCCTGATCTCACAAAGATGATCAGGTACAGTTGTGTAGGTTGTGCACAATTCCGGCATGCGGACATCCTGCTGAGAGAGCGGATGGGAGTGTAATGCCAGCCCACAATCCACCGGCCGAGCTGGGCGCTCTGGCACCGGTCAGCACACACTCAGCGGGGACGCCTTGTCATAATCTGCAGGTGGATACCACGTGGCAGCAGCATGCCGGGTGGAGCTGGCTCAGATTTCGGGAATTTTGCAAGCCAGGTGTTAAACATGGCTGCCATTAAAAATTAAATGAAATCAACTTACCATTAAATAAATGATATTAAAAACAAAGGTGGGGGGGATAAATTGGGAGACCAGGGTTGACACATACACACTACTATATATAAAATAGATAACTAATAAGGACCTACTGTACAGCACAGGGAACTCTGCCCAATACTCTGTAAAAGAATCTATATGGGAAAAGAATCTAAAAAAGAGTGGGTATATGTATGTGTATAACTGATTCACTTTACTGTACAACAGAAACTAACACAACATTGTAAATCAACTGAAAAAAAAAAAACAAAGGTAATAAACTTGCACGATTTATCACATCCTAGTTATTCTACCACATTTTACCATTATCTGTGCCCTGGAGTTTATTTTGCGGCCGCTGAATCTGTGCGGTGGGAACACCACATGATGAGGTGCTACACGGCACATCTCTCCAGCCCTATGGTCAGCGACATCTCACTGGTATCTTGAATTCAGCCACAGTGAGAGTATTTACGCCACAGAAATGGGCAAATCAGAGCTTTTTCTCTGACTGCTGGTTGTTAAACATTTATCAGCTAATAGCTACCTATGGGCTGGGGGCGTGGTCCCATCACCCACCCTCTTCCCACCCCCATCATTATCCTGCAAACTCCCACCCATTATCAAAATCCTGTTGGCACCCTGGGCTGTGAAGATGAGGGAAGACGGGCATTGGAGACCCACATCCGAATCCCTGGGATTTTATTTCATGGTCGTGTGACCCTGGGCAATTCACTTAACGTCTGTCGTCTCCACAATGGGGACAGCTATGCCTCCCTGATACAGCTGTGAGTATTTAATGCCATAGTAAGGTTTTCATAAGTGGTACTCTTTTCTTAATAAGTATGACTAATACGAGCCTGCAGTAGTAAGCACCCACGGTACCCAGGGAGCACCTCTCTCCCTGCATCCTGACACCACGCTAGAACTCGTAAAGACGGCGTGTTGTAGGAACCGCACAAACTAGCTCCCTGGGGGCATCTATCCCCTGAACCACTCCTGTGCTGAATGGCAAATACAGAGTGGAGGATGGGCAGTTCTCTGGTGGCCTGGTGGTTAGGGTTCTGGGCTTTCACTTTCGTGGCCCGGGTTCAATCCCTGGTTGGGGAACTGAGATCCCACAAGCCATGCGGCCCAGCCAGAAAAAAAAAAAAAAGTGGAGGAGACTTGGTGCTTTAAAAAAAAAGGCTTCCCTGGTGGCGCAGTGGTTGGGAGTCCGCCTGCCGATGCAGGGGACGCGGGTTCGTGCCCCGGTCCGGGAAGATCCCACATGCTGCAGAGCGGCTGGGCCCATGAGCCATGGCCGCTGAGCCTGCGCATCCGGAGCCTGTGCTCCTCGACGGGAGAGGCCACAACAGTGAGAGGCCCGCGAACCCAAAAAAAAAAAAAAAAAAAAAGGCCAGTTATAAGGCAGTATGATTTCATTTTTATTTAAATATAGATACATGCCTGTGTGTGTGTGTGTGTGTGTGTGTGTGTGTGTGTTTATTCACCAGCACAGAAGGAGGCTAGAAGAACATGTTCAGATTTAACAAAAGGGGTTAAGATATCAGAGGAATTAAGACGCTGGAGGGGACATTCCAGCAGAGGGAGGGTGGGGCGTGGTGTGGAGATGCACAAAGATTGAGACCTGGGGAAGCCAAGTCTGGAGAAAATCTCCTGATCTGAAATAGAAAATGGCAAGTGAGGGATGCCCATCTCTCAGGAAATGTCCCCAGTGGGCTCCTGACAGGAGAGCCAGGCCTGAAGGTGGCGGCAGGGCTGCCCTCGAGCCGGGCTCCCTCGGCTGCCCCTGCAGCAGCCCCCAGGGCTGACCGGTCCAGGAGGCATCGCTGCAATAGCCACTCGCCCCCGCCCCGTCCCAAATCTCACCGTCACCCTCTGGGCCTCAGCGTTCCAGAGAACCTTCTGGAATCCAGACTGGACCTGACAGTTCTCAGTTCAGAAGCCCACCGGGGCTCCATGAGCCTGCGGGCAGTGCAAAGCCCTAGCCCGGTATCCGCGGCCTTCCCAGCCTTGCCGTCCTTCCCACGCCGGGGCCACCTCACGTCCTCCTGCGCCTGTTCACTCCTCTCCTGGCAGCATCCTGCCTGGTATCTTGCCTGCAAACACTTAATCCATTAATCCATTGAGATCCCACTCCAAAGCCATCAAGATCCCTCTCTGCTCCCAGCTCACAGGTGGCTTCCTCCTCCCTGGCCCCTTCTTCCCCTCCCTTAGAGAGCTGATCAGTGTTGACAACGCAGCCTATGCGAAAGCCGGCTTTTGAACATCATCTGTTTCCCCACTGGCCTGGGAGACGCTCGAACGCCGAAACAGATCTAATCCACGTGTGTATTCCCAGCACAACACTGGCACACGTTTGGGGCCAGATCAAGCAACTCACTCTTTATTCACTCATTCAATGAATACTTATTAAGCGCTAACCAAGCCCCAGGCACTGCGGAGACAGCTACAAACACAGAAGCAGGATTTCCACCTTCTTGGAGCTTCACATCCAACTGGAAACAGCAGAGGGAAAGATGCAACTAAGAAATGAATCAGGGCTTCCCTGGTGGCGCAGTGGTTGGGAGTCCGCCTGCCGATGCAGGGGACGCGGGTTCGTGCCCCGGTCCGGGAAGATCACACATGCCACGGAGCGGCTGGGCCTGTGAGCCATGGCCGCTGAGCCTGCGTGTCCGGAGCCTGTGCTCCGCAACGGGAGAGGCCACAACAGTGGGAGGCCCGCGTACCGCAAAAAAAGAAAAAAGAAATGAATCAGATCATTATTACAAATGTATAGTAGTAGGAATGATGGAGGAGAAATACAGGGTGCTGTGGAAGAGCATAACAGGGGACCCAAGCTGGGCGGGGGGGAGGGGGAGAGGGGAGACATCTCTGAGACAGTGTGGCCCGAAGGACGGGGGGGCTCCAGGGGGACAGTGCATGGTCGCCCTTCAAGGCGGACAGAACAGCAGAGGGAGAGGCTGCAGGAGGAGGACGGCCGTCCCACTGCCCAGCGGTGCGTGCAATCACTCACGTCCTCACCCGTCATTCATCGGAACACCCAAACAGGAGAAAGAAGAGAGGAGGTGTCAGGAGGACAGAATGATCTTCAGGCTGAACCCGGAGCCCTGATGTGGGTGGCAGGTGGTGCGCTTTAGGTGGGAGACGGGTGAGGACGGAGGTGAGAAGGGGAAGGAGGCTTAGACCAGCAGGGGGAGAACGATGCAGGCGGAGGGGTTGAGTCAAGGAGAAGAAGGAATCAAGCCCTTGATGTGGGTCCCAGGCTCCAGCCCAGGAGGGCTGGGGCTTCTTTGTCCTCTGTGCCTCTCTAGGACCTAGTTCTAAGTGCGCAATTCCATGGAATATGGACCATACACTCTGATTTCAAACATCCTCAACTACACCTCACACCTACCCCAATATGCTCAGCCCATCAAGCCCTGTATTCCCAACTCAGGTTAAATGCGCCATCCTAGACCCTGTGGGAAGCAGAGGACCAGCCAGCTGCATGACCTAGAAGCCCAGACGCCCAGGCCATCCGCTACCTCCTTTCTTTTTCTTTTTTTTTTTTGCCAATTCGGAGCTTTGCCTGCTGTCTAAAAAACTCGAATCAGGAATTAGCTTTCAGGGGAAAGACAAATAACACATGATACCACTTGTATATGGAATCTAAAATATGGCACAAGTGAACCTGTCTATGAAACAGAAACAGACTCACAGACATAGAGAACAGACTTGTGGTTGCCAAGGGGGAGGGGAGGTGGGGGTGGGATGGAGTGGGAGTTTGGGATTAGCAGATGCAAACTAGTATATACAGGATGGAGAAACAGCAAGGTCCTACTGTAGAGCACAGGGAACTATATTCAATATCCTGGGATAAGCCATAATGGAAAAGCACATGAAAAAGAATGTATATATGTGTATAACTGAATCCCTGTGCTGTACAGCAGAAATTAACACAACATTGTAAATCAACTATACTTCAATTAAAAAATTTTTTTTTTTTAAGAATTAGCCTTCAGCATCACTGCTAGGTTAGGGGTCTAAAATCAAATGAAGCCCCAAGGAAAAACGTTCAAAGAAGACCCCCTTGCCGAGCAGGGGCAGGAAACCACACTCCAGGGACCCCCGGTAGTTTTGACAAACAAGTCAAGGTGGCGTAAGGGGTCATGGAGGAGAAAACAGCACAGATCTGGGGGCTTTTCTGCTGACACGTCAAAAATCATGGATGAATTGGCAAGTCCAATCCTAAAGAAATCAGCATGCCTGAGGATTCTTTTCTGTCAAGCAAAAAGCCAACAGGATTCATGTGACTTTTCACTTAATAACTAATTAATAAATTAGCAAACTCTTCCCCTCTTTCCTATGATAAAGAGTTTGTTCACTGATCTGTTAGTCTTTCAACTGGTTAATCAAGTGGTAGATGAACAGCACCATGTCCTCTTCAGAGTTAATCAGTCCCCAGCCGGCTGCCACCCGCTACCGTCCCCTGAGAACACTGTGCTTTCATTGCAAAAGCAGGGGTAGACCTTCCTCACCATGGCTATACCTCCACCCTCCCAGCTGCCCTTCTGTCTAGAAAAGTCCAGCATGGTGGAGCGAGGGGCTGGGGGAATTCTTGCACATTCAAGGAAATCATGAGATCAGTTATCCCAAGGTGGAGTCTATTCTTAATTCTGGGCAAGTAGACGGGTGTGCAGCACACGTTTTCCTGCCCACTTAGGCAAAGGCTGTGGAAAATACCAAAGGACCTGTTGGAAATTGTTCCCCGGCCCTTGAAGAGTTTGCAGTCTTGGGACTTCCCTGGCAGTCCAGTGGTTAAGACTCCACGCTTCCAACACACGGGTTCAATCCCTGGTTGGGGAACTAAGATCCCCGCGTGCCGCATGGCGCGGCCTAAAAAAGAGAGAGAGAGAGAGAGAGAGTTTGCAGTCTTAGGAGAAAGATGCACCAGTGCACATGAGAGAGGCAGTGGGTGGGGTGACCGTGTGTGTGCACATGTGTGTGTCTGGGCTTGCACCCCGCCACCTATGTACATGCACCCCAAGGTCAGTAGTAGTAGCTGACTGTGGTCTCGCACAATCTACTCTCTGTGCTGATCTCTGATCTGACAGAGGCTGGAAGCGAGCAGCTCTCACACAGAGACAGCTTGCTAGAGACCCACTGTGGTATGGCTCTGGGGTTTCTGCTTTTTGTTATTTTCAGTTAGTGGTTGCTAACAGTTAGAGATCAGGAGATCCGCCAAGGGCCAGGTGGCCTGGTTTTCTTGAGAAATGGAAAGGCCTGACAAGCCAGGCCCCCGTTCCCACAAAGCAGCAGCAGGCGGCCTTAGATGGGACAGGTGCTCGAAATTCACCGCAGGCCCCACCACTCCCTACTGCCTCACCGTCAGCCTGCTTCCCGCTTCAGGTTACCTAGGCCCTGTAGATGCTGGACCCCTGTGTGTTATACTGAACACTGGCCCCCAAGGATACTCAGGGTCTAATCCCTGGAATCTCTGAGTGTCCCCACAGCGGACGTTGTAGATGCAATTAAGTTGAGGATCTTGAGATGGGGGATTATCTTGGATCGTTCCCAGTAGACCCTAAACGTAATCACAAATGTCCTTATAGGAAGGAGGCAGGGGGAGATGTGACTACAGAAGAGGACAAGGCACGCGAACCACAGAAGTGGAGATTCAAACGATGTGGCCAGGAGTTCCCTGGCGGCCCAGTGGTGGGGACTCCATGCTTCCACCGCCCAGGGTCCGGGTTCCATCCCTGGTCAGGGAACTAAGATCCCGCAAGCCCAGTGGTGCCGCCAAAAAAAAAAAGGAATATGATGCGGCCACAGCCAAGGAACGCCGGCAGCCACCAGAAGCTGCAGGAGGCAAGAAACGATCCTCCCTGGAGCCTCGAGAAGGAGACAGCCCTTCTGATAACCTTGAGTTTAGCCCCACAAGACGCATTTCAGACGTCCAGCCTCCAGATCTGTAGGAGAATAAATTGCTATTGTTTTAGCCAATAAGTTGGTGGTCAGTTTGTAACAGCAGCAATAGGAAACAAACATAGCCTGTCAACGAATGAACTCGACAAACACCTTGAATGCCCAGAAGACAGTGGATGGACCCTGCCCTCAGGGAGGTGATACGCTAGCAGGAGAGGACACCTGACAATGACGGGAGAGTGTGGTCTGAGCAGGGACCCTGGGAACGTACCCGAGGCACTTGTAACCGAGGCCTGGAGACCCCAGGACAGACAGTTTTCTAGCTTTATTTCCAGGAGACATGCACGCGCGCATCTTTATCAGGCAATGGAGCTCTGCCGCGGTCTGGGCCGTGCTGGGGCCAGGGGACACGGAGGGGCTCACCTTGCCCGCTGGATGAACTGGGTGGCCTTCTCGGCATACTTCTGTGCGAGGCCGCTCAAGTTCACGGGCTGCTCCACGATGCTGAGGTTCTCATAGAGAGGAAGGGCCACGTCCGAGTGACAGTCCTTCTCAGGGTTCCTGGGTGGAAATCACAGACGGTGGAGCGTTCATTCCCACGACCTAAGTAGTCACCGAGTCAAACAAAACGCTTTGATGCGGTGATGCCCATAAATACAGAACACTTAACAGCCTGGCCTCAAGTGATTCTTCCAGTCTGCCATTTCCTCCAAGTGCAAAACCAATATAACACCTTCTCCTATTCCCTTTGAATAGACGTGTAGGCTCCTTGGACAAGCCTGGCCACTCTGCAAAGCTCACGACTTTTTTGAGCTAGGGGTATGATTATACCCATTTTGCTGGCAGAGAAACTGAGGTTAAACAAAGTACATTACACAGCAGAGTCCCAGAGACAATCAGTAGCCCTGGTTTTTTCCACCGGCCCCCTTAAGTCATGACTTCCGTCCATGGGGTACAATGCTTGGTATTTTCCCAAGTCAACAATCAGGACTTTGTGTGACAAGACGTCTGACGAGAGGACAGATGGCTAGGAACAACTTTGGAATTTCAAACCGTGTTTGGAGAATTTGGGGAAATTTTAGCAATTGGAAAAAGTGGGGGTCAAACCTATTGTATCTCCTGGAAAAAAACAAACTCAGCCCTTGGTCTTACAGATGGAGATGAATCTGACGTACGAATGACCCAGCAGAGCAGCTGAATCCTGACCCCGGCTGTGATCTCGCGTGAGTTACCTAAGCTCTCAGAGCTTGACTTTCCTTGTGGGAAGTGTGGGGCTGCCTGGGCCCCTTCCAGGGATAAGGAACGGTTAGCATTCACACTGCTCGGCACACTAGGAATGCAATCAAAACTCAAGCCCTCTGTCCTGGGGGATACAGAGAACTGGAAGAGGAGCTGAGGACAATGGAGAGAAAAGGGTGGTCACGGGGGGCGTCTTGGGTAGGGAAACTGTCCTCCTGCTGCAGGGAAGAATCTGGGAAGAAAGGAGAGCCCCCGTCACACATCTATGTGCACACAGACTTGTGCCGGAAGCTTAAGAGACAAGGTCAGACTGGGGTAATCACCAAGGACCACAGTGTTTTAAAAAGAGAAAAAGAGCACGGTCCCGGGTGTCACAACGCTGACCTCATCTTCGTGTCCAATCTTCCAGCTCTGGATGATCCTGTGGCTGCTCCATCATCCCTAACCTTCTCCCCCTTTTCCTCCTTCAGCCAACACTTCTCTTCTATTTAACACAGACGGAAAAGGGACCAGGCTGTGGTCATCGCACGAGACGGCAGGGGTGCCACAGGTGTGAGCCCCAGGCGCCCGGCGGTGATGAGAGAGCAGTGGCAGGTTCTCACGTGGTGACGTCACTCCTCCCACTGCCAACAGGCTCTTGCATCTCCTGGGCATCTCGTGAAAAGGTAGACCTCTGGGAGGGGTCTGAACACCGGCATTTCTAGCAAGCGTCCAGATGATGCCTGCGCTGCTGGCCCAGCGACCACCCTCTGAGTAGTCAGGAGAGAGGAGACCTGGGCTCTAGACTCAGAGACCCAGACGGGACTCTCCATCCTTCCCTCTCATGACTCCACTGTGACCTGGGCCACCAGGTAAGCCTCCTTCTCAGGACAGTCAGGAGAAACGCTTGCCTCACTCAGAGGTCCGGTGGGTCACGGATAAGCACGCAGAGCGCTTAGGATGTAACAATTTCTCAACAAATGGCCATTATGATGCTAACTATTATTAATAAGCCCCAAGACACGCTTTCCCCGGGCGGCCCAGACACCTGCAACGTTATGAACAATCCCAGTACACCGTCCGAACAGCAGAGCACCTGGTCTGGGCTGCTTTATTACCTGAATATGGTTTATTACATTTTTCTGATAATAAACGTACTGCAAGCTCATTACAGAATATTTGGAAAATACGAGAGAGGAAAAAACTGCAAACTCCTTAATGCCACAACCAGAGTGAATGAACCATGGTTACCATCTTGGCGTATTTCCTTTAGGGCTATTAGAGGCATAAATACAGAGGTAGTTCAGGTCACAGTGTTGATGATTTATTTCCTGCTTTTTTCACTTACTATTCTATTGTGAGCATTTTCCCATTTCACTGAATACGTTTTTAAAACATCCTGTTGAGTGCCTGCACGGCATTCCGATGTCGAAACGCTGGCTTATTTCAGGGCGGGGGTAGGGCTTATAGGGAGCCTGGTGGACTTTTTCTCAGTCTAGCTCCCTCCTTATGTCCAGTGTCAGGGCCAGGTGAGTGGTCCAGGAGCAAAGCCAGCAGGCAGAGGAGGGAGGCCACCTGCGTGAGACCCTGGGTCGCACCAGCCTCTCCCCTGCTGAGCTAAACAGTCCAAGGAACCTGGAAAATGCCAACTAAAAAAATGTTGTTCACCTCATCTTCGTGAAAAGTGTTCTTGCACTCCATGCAAATAATGCACTTAAATTTTTTGCACTAAAGGTACTCGATCTTTTTTTTTTTTTTTTTTGGCTGCATTTGGGTCTTCGTTGCTGCGCACAGGCTTTCTCTAGTTGCGGCGAGCGGGGGCTAGTCTTTGCTGTGGTGCGTGGGCTTCTCATTGCGGTGGTTTCTCTTGTTGTGGAGCACGGGCTCTAGGTGCGCAGGCTTCAGTAGTTGCGGCATGCGGGCTCCGTAGATGCGGCACGAGGGCCCTAGAGCACAGGGGCTTCAGTAGTTGTGGCCCATGGGCTTAGATGCTCCGCGGCATGTGGGATCTTCCCGGACCAGGGCTCGAACCCGTGTCCCCTGCACTGGCAGGCGGATTCTTAACCACCACGCCGCCAGAGAAGTCCCAGGCACTTGATCCCTTTTTGCTACTGTAACTGTTCCCCGTGGGCCTCGCTCATTTCCTTCTGATGGACCACACCCCCAGGACTTCACCTGGCTCTGGAGCCCAGAGCCGATGCCTTGGCTAGGATTACCTTGACGGTCTACCGCCCCGTGGACATGCCGGGCAAGGGGGGTGGTTGTAGCCGGGGGTATCAGTGCAGCCCATGTCATGGCTGTACGGGATTCCAAAGTAGTAATCAAACCCTGGAAGAGAAGGAACGGGTTAGGCTATGAGCCTGCATTCTTACACCCAGGACAGAAATTTAATTTTCCATGATTTAATTCTGCAGTGTTATGGCGTATGTAATTAAAAGAGGATTTGATTAATAGCCCTTTGTAGTGTGCAAAGAAAACACTTTGCTGGGTCCTGGCTGCAAGACTAGATTTGCAAAACTTCTTGTGATTAGCATTAACCCTGCGTGGAAGGAAGTGGGGAGAATGTCTTGAACACCTCCCGTTCCCAGTGCGATGATGGACACCGCTGGGAAATATCTGGTGAAAATCTGCTACCTGCATGACACTCTGGGGGGTAAAAGAATATACTCTGCCCTCAAGAGCGGGAGGATAAGAAGCAGAGATTCAGCTCTAAGAGATGGATTGTCAGCAAGCCCACAAGAGGGATCAGAGGATGAAGTTACCCCTGGATGCTGGGGGTGGGATGTGGTTGGGACAGGAATCTCAAAATGCTTCTCAGAAGAGTTGCCATTTCAGCTGGACGCAGAGGGCTGGCAGGATTGGACTTGAGAGGGTGGAGGGGTATTGGAGGGAGGATGTGAGGGTCAAACTGAGACCTGAAAACCCTGTGTTGACTTTTTTCTGAGACCCTCCCATATCCCAGCTCTTCTCCAGCACAAGCTTCCGTGTGAAGTTTCCCACAGAATTCCCTACTCCCCGCCGAGCCCCTGCTTCAGTGAACCCATCAAACGATCTTTACTTCTTACCACGCGGGGCCTCACGGGGGCCAAGTGTTCCCGGACACGTGAAGGACTGGGTCGAGGAGAACACTGATGGCCTCACGACGGGGTAGCCCGAAGGGTAGACAGGCACCAAAGAGGGGGGCCGGGAAAGGTGCCGGGCAAGAGGGATGTGCAAACAGAGGCAACCCTGGCACCTCAAACCCACCCAGGTGAGCCTGTGAACGAAGGTGTCCTGACTCAGGAGAGAGGCCCCTCAGGGGCAGGATGGCTGAAACACTTATAGAGTCCTTTTACACAGAGACCTTTATTTTCTGTTTCCCAGGTAACCAATCCTCCAAAGAATTCTTACCACGGAAGTTGGGGTGATAAGAGCCATGGTGTCCAAGATGCCACTTGCCTGGAGGAAAACGAGAGAGAGAGAGACTTTGAGAGGAATCCCCATGGGGGCTCCCAGCCCCTTGGTGAAGCTGGTCACACACTCAGGTCTCCACCAGCTTTGCCCTTTCCTGAGCACAAGCAAAGAGAGGCTCACGTGCTGTGTGACAGCCAAGCCTCGTTCTCTGGGACCGAGAGGGAGTCCCCAGGGAGACAGAAAGCAAGCAAGGATGACTCACGACTCAGGCAGGAAAGCGTGCGGGGGGTGGGGGGGGGAAGACGAGCCATTACCGGGAGCCCAGAGAAGTTAGCAGGCTGAGCTCCTGCCCCCCAAAGAGGGTGCAGCGCCCACGGCAACGCCCCCCCCCCACCCCCCCCACCCCCGCCAGGGCTCCCCACACCTTCCGCTCGGCCCTCCTGCCTGGGGCCCTGCAAAGGACCCAAGGAGCAAGTGCACGGCCCAGACAGTCCCAGAGATGCCGCTCCCGCCTGCTTTCATCATCGTCCTCTGCAGAAGCTGAGCGGGGCGCCGCCTCCCTGCGCCGCCCGAGCCAGGCCAGCAACGAGGAAGCTCTGCCGCAGGGCTGCTCCTGGCGCTGTAAACGCGTTCACTGGGGGGCACGAGGCGAGGCTGGGACCCTCTGACCTGCTCATTCTCTGCTCTCCGGGTAAAGATCCCACAGGGAAGTCACCCACGAGGTAAGGGGAAGAATCAAAAACGCGGGGCAAAGACCAGTACGGCGGCAGCGTGAAACAACGCCAAGGACGGAAAGAAACAGGCAACCACAGGAGTCTGACTCAGTAAGTTATCTCACGTGGCCTCAGTACAATGCTTCCAAACCATCTTTTCAAGACACACGCCTGTGGCCAAAACGAGCAACGGTGAATCGAGGTGAAGGGTATATGGGGGTCTAGGAGTCCCTTCTTGCAACTGGTCTGTAGGTTTGAAAACAAATGTCATAAAAAGTTGAGGGAAGTGGATTAAGCTAAGTGGAATGCTTAGATTCAGCATGACGTGGAAATATAAAATTATAGTACAATTTTAAAATTGCTTCTAAAATTATAATAAGCGTGTAGAATTATATCACCAGGACATAGAAAATAATAGGAGGGGGAGAAAAGTAGGGCCGAGTGATAACGTGTGTAGCTGGGGACAAACACATGAACACAGAGCAAGATGAGAAGCAAACAGTGAGTGGTGTCAGTGGACTCGGTGTTCCCTCAGCAGGCTTCTCATTTGCCCTGTAAGCGCGCTGCTAGGAAGTTCACGATCTCAACAAGGAGCTACGCTTCAGTACCCTCTCCCAGAAAAGCAAAAGGTGTCATGAGAGGTGAACAGTCGACCTGTAATCAGTTGCCTTCTTGGGATTTAAAGGCCTGAAGAAGGAGGAGCAAGTGAGATCGAACCCAGCTCGAGAAGAACCCAGTGCCCCTGATGCTGCATGACGTGTCAGGGTCAGAGAGCCCGGGGACCAAAGCCCTCCCGCCCCCCGGGCTGGGAGTCTTACACGGATGCAGGGACAGGGCGGGTGAGGACGCTCAGCCCATAGTGAGAGCCTCAGAATAGTTCGTACCTCCGGGTATGGAGAGAAAGGGGTGAAAAGGAGAGCCGGTTGGGACCTTAATGGTCTCGTCCTCCCAGGACAATGAAGGCCACACTGCAGTCTGATCTTCTGCAAAGTTATGTCAGGCTCCTTGACCCAGAGGAGGAGCCAGGCCGACACACCAGGAATGCCAGCTTCCTGCAGGTTAACGGGGAGCCCGGGGCCCCGAGGACATCCCCACAGGGACCCTCGTTGCCCCTTCACGTGGTGGAGGGAGGCGGGAACCCCGCCGGACCCAGCTCTTGGAGAGCCAGGATCCTAAGCACAGGCAGCCTGAGGATGCCGTTGGGAGGCTGGGTTGTCTTGGCCTCTGTAGGGGGCACCAGGGGAAACTAGTTCCATACATGGTTTAGTCCCCTGGCAGGTCGTTTCAGTTGCTTAGAGCTGAAAGCATTCCCAACTCCTACAGCGAGAAATGAGCAGAAAAGCGGACACGAGCAGGAGAGGCGGCAGCTCTGCAGACACAAAGCAGTCAGCACAGAAAGTGCAGGGGGGACGGGGTCTGGGCGGTGGGGGCCACGTTACCAATCAGCCCGGTGACGTAGCCAGCCCGCTGCAGCACTTCGGCCAAGGTGGTCTCGTTGAGTGGAAGGCCCCCCACAGAGGTGGCTGCAAAGTTGTGAGGGACTCCGTTGCGGAGGCCAAGCCGGCCGGTGAGCAGGGCGGCCCGGGAGGGCGAGCAGGTGGACGCAGCCGCGTGGAAGTCCACAAACCTGCGCGGAGAGGAGAGCGATGGGGGTCGGCCTGACCACAGAAAGCCGGGCCAAGAGGGACTCAATCCCTGGGGTCCCAGCGCTGGGAAAAAGCTCCAGGACCCGCCAGCCGTGGGGCAGGTAAAGAAAATGAAGCCCAGAGACGCATTATGTGACTAACCCAGGGTCACACAGCTGACTCGAAGGGATTTAATCCCACATATTGAACGGATTTTCCACATTTTATATTCACCTACTCACTTAATGCATCTGTAACCCCAGAAATCAACACTCGTGGCTCTGAAGGGATAGTTCACGGATATACGCAGACCTGTGAAAATCTGCACATTTCCAGCTGAGGTTGGACAAGGTGACCTTCTTGTTTGGGCTCTCACAGATTCAGTGTTCACAGGGACGTTATAGAACATCACCACTGCTGACACAAGAGCTGACTATCTATTACTCCTTACTGTAAGCCCAGCCCTTTTTCAGACACTATGGAGAAACAGAGAAGTCTAGCCATTTTCTTACCCTCAAGGAACGTGAGTAAATTGAATGTCACTAATGAAGGGGCAACCTGACTTCATGTGTCTCCTGACAGGATGCAATATGAATTCATGACACCAAGGATTCTTACCGAAAACGTTTAACCTGAATCTAGTCAGACCCCTGGACCTAATTTCCACATTACAGGAAAAAAAAAGCTAATGCAAGACCAAATTAAATGACCCCACAAGAAGAGACTTTACCAAACCATTCTTTAGACGTTCGATAAGACAACCAGTCCCATCTCTTCAAACAGTCAGCATCTGAGGGAACGATGGGACGGACGGGGCGATACTGTGCATAAGGAAAGACTAAAGAGATAGAACCAAGTGCAATACATGAATCTTACTGGATCCCAGTTCAGAAGAGCTGGCAACACACCTGAGGGCTAATTAGGGAGGGAGATTTAATATGAACTGGATATAAAATGATATTAGGGGATTATCGCTCATTTTCAGGATTACGGCCATGTGGGAGAATGTTTCTATTCTTTTCCTTCTGGTTTTAGTGAGATATAATTGACACATAACCTTGTACTAGTTTCAGGGGTACAACATCATAATTTGATATAAGTGCATATTATGAAATGATCACCACAGTAAAGTTTAGTTAACATCTGTCACCTCCCACAGTCACAAACTTTTTTCCTGTGATGAGAACTTTTAAGATCTCCTCTCTTAGTGACTTTCAAATACACAAGACAGCATTGTTGACGCTCGTCCCCATGCTATGCATTACGTCTCATGACTTACACCCAGAAGTCGTCACCACCTTCACCCATTCTTCCCCACCTCCGAAACCATCCTTCACACTGATGCAAATGTCCTTCCACAGTGGGAGTCGGATCACACCAGTCTCTTACTGGAAAACACAATCTCTCTCTGCCTGCTTCTCAGAGCTCAGCCGCTGCCCCCCTCCTGCCCTGAGCTGCTTCCTCACATCCTCCCAAGCCCCCACTTACTCCTGTCCGCTGTGCCTTTGCCCATGCTCTTCCCCCACTCCCCAAACCCTTCCCCTAGTGTCCCACCTTATCCTGACTGACCAGTCCCAGTCGTCTTCAAGACCCCGCTCAAAGACTCAGATGTTACCCCCCCAGGTCACCCTCCCTGCCTCTCCCTGCCTCTCCCCCAGCCCCCCAATCTGCACCTCCCCACCCAACGTGGAGTCAAGGCCCCCTCTTCTCTACGTGATCATATAGCCTTTGGCATCTCCTTTACAACACTGAACTCTAATTCTTTGTTTTCCCTTTTGGGGCAGCTTCCAGATGGCCACGAATCCGTGGATAGGCCTCCCCGTGACAGGCGGGGCCTGAGGTCCCCCCGCCCTTGACACTGTGAGTGCTTTGAGCCCCAGAGGATGTGAAGGGGACACTGCACCAGTTTCTGGGCTCAGCCCTCACGAGACTGGTAGCTTCCACCTCCTCCCTGAAAACACTCTGTGAGCCGCTGGGTGAGAAATCGACTCCCCCAACACGGCCCAGCTGGACAGGCCATCTGTAGGTGCTCCGGCCCATGACCCCAGCGGAGGCCACTGCGTCTAAACATCACACGTGTGCGTGAGGCCACCCTGGACCTCCCAGCGCAGCCATCTGCCTGCTGAATTTCACCAGAGCCGCCTTGGTCAACACAACAAGGTAAAGGATCACCCAACCAAGAGACACCTGAATTCCTGACCCTCGGCATCATGAGACGTGATGAAATGGTTGTTGTTTTGAGCTGCTGACTTCGGGGATGGTTTGTTACTCAGCAGTTCGCCACCAGAGCAGCATCTGTCTTCCACCGGACCATCCTCTCCCGACCATTCAGTCCTCAGCCCAGCACGAGGTGGGCACCACCCAGCGCATGTGGAGAGGGTGATGCCACCGTACTCTTTGCTTTGGTACAACGTGGTGAGTCTCTGCTAAAGAGGCCTGGGCCTCAGTCCCAGAGGATGGGTGAATTCACAGAGCGGTGACACGCACCGAGAGGTCCCAGCAATGCCCGTCTGAAAGCGCCGGCCCAGCCCTGAAGCCGTGCTCTTCAAGCAGACGTGCGATGCCTCCATCTGACAGAATGAGGGCAGGGGAGCGAGGTGCTCCAACGCTCATGCTGGGTCCGCAGGTGCTGGGCGAGGCCTCCCTCCAGCCTCGGGGAGCTCCAGGGCCCCCGACTCTGGCTTCACACCCCTGCCAGCACTTCCTTCCTGTCCCTCCGTCCCCTGGGGCTGGAAGTAGCACGTGCAGCCTCCCTTCTGTCCATCGGTTGCTGGTCCCCTGGGTAATTTCCCAGGCACCGGCTTCTCTCACAGCATCCCCAGCTGCCCACATACTGCGGCCTCAGGGAGTTCGATTCCTGGGGCAAAATCCAGGATTCTGGACGTTGCATGCAGCTGGCAACCGCTGCCCTTGGAATCCCAGACTGAGCTCCACTTCAATGTTCATACTTTTCTCCCAAGAAAACGTTCATTTGTACCCAGCCTCTTCTGTTCTTTTCCTCCCAAGATTAAAGCACAAACATCCTCCTAGATCACACTCCTAAATGTTCCTTATAATAATGACTACTGGGACTTCCCTGGTGGCGCAGTGGTTAAGAATCCGCCTGCTAATGCAGGGGACACAGGTTCGAGCCCTGGTCCGGGAAGATCCTATGTGCCGCCGAGCAACTAAGCCCGTGCGCCACAACTACTGAAGCCCACGCGCCGTACAGCCCATGCTCCACAGCAATAGAAGCCACCTCAATGAGAAGCCTGTGCACTGCAATGAAGAGTGGTCCCTGCTCGCCGCAACTAGAGAAGGCCAGCGTGCAGCAACAAAGACCCAACGCAGCCAAAAGTAAGTTAATTAAGATAATGACAATGACTCTTACTACGACTAGATTACTACTACGGTACCTCACACTCGGCGGCTTTTATTACTCTCATAGCTAATGCTCAGGCTTCTAGAATCCGGGCACTTCTCTAAGCCACGAGCACCCACTGTCACTGGACTCATTCTGCTCTGCAGGTGTAGCTCCGTATGGGTCACCTCCTTACCCACAGCAGTGGGAGCGGCTGCACAATCGGCAGGGCCCGGAGCAAAATGAAAATGCAAAGGCCCTTATTCAGAACCTACCAAGCATTTCAAGATGGCGACAGCAGAGCATTAACCCACCATCCACACCACGGTGCGGAGCTGAACAGCACTCAACCCGCCCAGCTGAACGCGGCAGCCCTGCCCCCCATTTACATTTGCTGCCCCAGTTCCTCCTCTCCCAGTTTTCCATGGGGCGGCCAAAGTGATCTTGAAAACTGTTTATCAGCTAACATTATTCCTGGCTGGAAACCCACAAATAAGTCCTCATTGCAATTTAGGTAAACCCAAAGTCACGGTCGTGAGCTTCTCAAGCGGCGAGCGGGAGCACACAGATACAGCCAAACACTGATAGCTAGTAGGTTTTCTGAGATCCAGCTCCTCCCAGCCCCAGGGGCAGCCAGGCGGGACCCCGGGCAACTGGAGGTTCCTGGGCATCCATGCCCTGCACAGTCCCAGGGAAGTAATCCCGTTAGAGCAGAGAACGGAGAGAGCCCTGCAGGTGCGGCGCCAGGCATCCTTGTTGGAGTCCCACGCTGGCCACCTCCAACCACCAGCAGCCTGGGTGGAGCTCCTTGGAATGGGGTGCAAGGATCCTGACAGCGTGGAACCCCACGCCCAGGGGATCTGGACCCAGGCGTCATCATCCCTATTCCCACCCCGGTTCCCCCCAGCAGCCACACCACCCAGAGCGGCTCTACCGAGATCACCCCGAGCTTGTCCCTGCCTCAGGCCCTTCTCATGTCCCCTCCATCTGGAAGGCTGTGTTCTGGTCTCCGCGTGATGGGCCCCTTCTTTTCATCCGGGTCTCAGCTCTCATTTCACCTACTCAGGGAGGGCTTTCCTGACCTGACCACTCTCCACTGCATCACTGTTCTATTCTGTCTTGAGCCTTTATCCACTCGGACCTCACCTTGCTCACGGACTGGTCTCCCTGCTTGCTGCCCGGCTGCCCCTCTAGAACGGAGTCCCCGAGAGCCTGGGTGTGTCTGCCCGCTGCCACCGCCGCCCCCGCCCCGGGGGGCTGGTTCCCGACCTCAGGAAGGAGGGTTCTCTGATTTGGGCAGCTGGAGTCCTGCACTCCACCAGTGAGATGGCTCTTCCCATCTGGGGGGACTGGGGCTTCCTCGGCCGGGTTCCCTGCGGGAACCAGACTTTGAGACGCTCCCAGTGGACATTCACTCCTGCCCTCACCCATCTGTGCCTCTCGACAGATACAGACGCGCATCACCGCTCAGCCCAAACCCTTCACTCTGAGCTGCTGGTCTTAGTTCCACCAGCCATACCTGGCGGAAGGACGGCAGGGAGGGGACCACAGCCCTCTCCGTCAGAGGCTTACACTTCAGCAGAGGGTCAAGACCTATGTGGGTAACCAGACAAAATAAGATGAGCCTGGCCAGAGAGACACAGTGAGTGAGGTATGGCTGGT